CAAAGTGGCGCAACCACAACTGGCTGCTGCATCATGACAACGCGCCAGCGCACACCGCCCTCAAAGTTCGGCAGTTTTTGGCCTCAAACACTATGGCCGTCATCCCGCACCCTCCTTATTCGCCGTGTGACTTCTTCCTCTTCCGAAAGATGAAAATTCAGCTAAAGGGAAGGAGATTTGAGACGATAGAAGAGATTCAGGCAGAATCGCAGATGGTGCTTGACAGGCTGACAAAGAAAGATTTCCAGGCTTGGCAGCGGCGCTGGGATCGTTGTGTTCACTCCCAGGGGAACTACTTCGATGGTGATGGATAAATTTAATACCTGAGATAAGTGTACGGGTTTTTATACGCGCAGTCTGGAAACCTTCCGATCGCACCTCGTATCTGCTGATATCAGCATATTTTGACTGTAGGTAACACGGTTACAGTTCTTCGAAGGTGTGCAACTACTTTTGACTTACCCTGTATTATACTGTATAAAAATACTGTATTGTTACATATGGCTACAAGAAGTGGGATAAGATGCGAGATGTTGTAAGCTTCTAAAAAAATTGATGGTCATTACAAAGGTATATTTTGAAGCGCATGTAACTCATACACAGTGGAACAATTCAGCATACCTGTGTCAATGTTAAACAGTAATATGGCAAAGAAGAAAAACCGTCTTCAGATACGTTAAGTGATCAGCTATGCCGAAAAATATGAAACTTTTAAATATGTGAATACTGTGTAAGTACTCCTAGAGCGGTTTAGGCAAAAACGGGCATTAAATTTGTCAATTCAAGACAACGTGTTAAGAGAAAGAAGGCTAAAGAAATGTCCCTAGTACTAAATGCAGTAGACTCCCGGTTATCTGGGGGTGGATTAACCCTTCAGCGTGGGAGCATTTAAATCCCAAGTCTATTCCGTGCTGTGGGAAAAGTTTCTGCTTGGGAATTTAATTTTGAGCTGAAAGTGCATCATTTTACTTATATGGGCACAACTTCCCTAATAATTGATGAATTTTAGTGAAACTTTGAACAAAATGTTCACAACACACTATGCTTTATAGAACGGTAAAAAATTTACCTTAAAAGTTGAGTTTTGTGTGGAATAT